GCACTAGTAAAGCGCGGACTAGTAAAACGCGGACTAGTAAAACGCTGACTAGTAAAACGCTGACTAGTAAAACGTGGACTAGTAAAACGCGGACTAATGAAACGCGGACTAGTAAAAGGCGGACTTAACAACAACAACAACAACAACAAAAACAATTTCATACGAAGGCAATCACAAGACTTGATGGCGAGCCAATTTAGTGAGTGACAATCCCTGTTTGACCTTTAAACTACAAATGGGTTTGTCATGCGCCAGATACAAACGATTTTATAAGTTTAGGCTAAAAAAGAAAGAATTTTATTCAGCAGCTGTTCAAAATCTTAAAATACACTTCCGTCATAAATTTCACGGCAGAAACGCCGGAATTCGATGAATAAAAGTCGCATTAAATCTCCTTGTGTCTAGGTAGAAAGAGTCTCATTGACTTCAGCTTTTTGGTGGAAGAAAAACCGATTTACACACGCCATTGCAGAAAACAAACAAGCAGACAAACTCCAAAACACATATTTACATTCACTTACAATTTGACTTTCCGTGACATTTTAAAACGGAACAGAGGTAAATCTTCAAAGATTAATCGTCGTTGGAAATAAAAAATACTTTCCGTAAGATCTCTAACTGTTTTTCGTTTTACGAGAAAATCGTCGCATGATCATTTAACTCGTGTGTGTTTATCACACCAGTACTGCTGTTTAGCGTATGCCTCTTTACTCTTGAATTGACAGGTGTCACATCGTGACAGTTACTTATCAAAAAAATGTTTCAAAATTTGGTCGGAAGCCTTTAATTATCTTTACAAATAAAAATGTTTCGACGAAAGCTTTCTCTTTAATTTGAAGAACCCGAATGATTTAGGGCTACAATTACGAGTTTAATTACGGAAAAATCCTCCTTGAACTTAACAATTTGATAGCGAGTGAGTTATAAAGAAAACAAACTTTATTCATTATTGCTTGATTGTTTTCATGATACTTCTCAACTCGTGAATAAAAATCGTACGCGCGCATTTTCCATGGAGTAATTTCTATGTAAATCACATGCTATGTGTAAATGTAACATAAAAACTCTTTACATTTTGACTGTGGCTCGCATGACTCGCCCCTTGGCTCGCATGACTCGTCCCTTGGCTCGCATGGCTCGCATGGCTCGCCCCTTGGCTCGCGTGACTCGCCCCTTGGCTCGCGTGGCTCGCCCCTTGGCTCGCGTGACTCGCCTCTTGGCTCGCATGACTCGCCCCTTGGCTCGCATGACTCGTCCCTTGGCTCGCATGGCTCGCATGGCTCGCCCCTTGGCTCGCGTGACTCGCCCCTTGGCTCGCGTGGCTCGCCCCTTGGCTCGCGTGACTCGCC